TGCAGGGAGATTACGTTGAAAAGTGACAGAAGTCTCAAATTTTTTGTATGATTATTGTGTGAGAAAAAAAATCGGAGACCTTAGAACTTGAACGCACAATGTAATTGCCTCCATATACTTCTTTTATGAAATACCAAAGACCATGAAGATGAGCCCATGGACAATATAATTTCCTTATCTTTCTTGAAGTGTATAATTCTGACTTTTTATTCAAAACCATGACTTCCTTTTCCAGGAAGGTTATAACAAATTAAAATCTGCTGGCATCACAGTAACAGATCAGATGTCTAAAACAATTTCACACTTAACAAGTAGAATAAAATTTAGCACAGTATGCCCAACATACCTCTTCTGAATCTCCAGTTCCATGTCTCAAATTTGGTATTTGTGGAGCTGAAGCATTATAATTTTTTGTATCTTCAGTGGACTTCTTAACATCTATAAGTAAGCCATGCAAAAGGGTTACATTAACAGAAATAAAACTGGCATATAAAGATAATTTTAAATTTTCATATGTGGAATAGTTGAGAAATGGAAGAATGTTTACACAGAATAAGCAGTTCCAGATTCTTCACACACACAGTAAATTTTGGTGTTCATGTGGTTGTTGTGGCTTATGCCTTCATGTTTTTTACTGTACTCTGTTTGCCTGGCAAAGGCACGCTCAAAAAGCGGGATACCCATCTTTACCCCATAAGAGTGAAGATGATAAAGATGACAGCAAACAGAGGGAATTTATAGCTTAATGTCAGATCTGATCCAAAATTCAGGCTTTGTATGCATGCACGCACAGACATATTCCACTGCTGTTTTATTACAATGTTTCAAGATTAGTAATTTTCAAGAAGAATGTTCAAGCCTAGTACTAGTTTCATCCAATTTCTCTTCAGTGAGCACTCAATGTTTTGATACAATTCTTTCTCCAGCCAGTACTGACCATGTCTGTTTTAATTTACCTGTGAGTTTATGAAGAGTTTGCAGGTGTGTTTGCAACCCTACAGAGTACCTATTAAGTTCACTCAGTCTGTGTGCTAGGTAGATTTTCATGAACTTTTAAATTGGAGAATTCTATGAAAAGTTGCTGAATCATTACAATTTTCATTCATATGAAGCAGTTTTAAGAGCCACCTTACATTAAGACCTACGTGTGTTTCTGTGCATATCATGAGTGTAATTTGTTAAATATTTACTGCTGAGAAAATAAGGAAAGGGATTCTTAGCCTTAATCACCTAATTTATAATTTCTTCTGTAGCATACATCTGTGAAGCAAACACTGTATACTTTTACAATCTTGTTTCTATTTGGAGATGTAATTCCTGAAATTTAGGACAGAATCTTACCTTACCTTCCTTACATAATCACTTTTGACATAGGTCTCACATAAATTTTCATTGCAATCTGTTAACTGTCACACGACATGTTGTTGCAAGGAGTTACACAACTGACTCTTTAACACAGCAGCACAGGCTTATTATGTAATGCATAGGCTGGTTTCATGGCAATTCAAAAATTTATGAAAGAAATATTTTAATGCATATAGGCTCGTTTGTCAGAGTTGACACAAAAAGCATCTTTCTCCTTTGCCACAGTGGCCACATGATTTTTGGGTATATATCAGTTGATTGCACTGTAATCAAAGCACAATGTGACTTTTATATCATAACTTCAGGAGATTCCTCCTGATATTATTCCAAGTGAACCATATCTACTAACAGGGATCCTATTCTCAACAGGTTTGGATCTATGAGTATTTGAAACACAGCTTAATTTCAAGTTTTAATGGAAAAAAACATCTTTATTGAAAAAAAAATTGAATACCCTGTACAGTTTATTATTATTAACTCCGTGGTTTTAGTCTGCAAGCGAACTATACCAACCAAGCGACTGCCGCTTGTCAGCGAAGTTAGTGCCAACTTCAGCGGATAGAGGGTGCCACGTGGTCACTGCACCGAATCCCCACAGCAGTTATTTTTATACAAAAAAAATTGAATACCCTGTAGAGTTTACATAGCTTAAAGCAACTGTTCAGAATGTCAACAATCAGCATGGACTCACATCCTAGTTCATTTTAGTATGAAACATGTAACCATTTGGAGAACTACATCATTATTAACATTCAAAAAACATTCACTGATGTCATTCATCTCTCAAGTCCATCTTGCATTTTTCAGGCACCTGATACATGGCAATCTAGGGGGTTAAGATCCAGTGAACTCAGTAGCCTACTAAGTGTAATGCAACACCTGATCCACTGACCAGGGACCTGTTCATTCAGATACAACAAGATGTTCCCACTGAAATGCAGGGCTGCTCCATCATGCTGGTAGTACATCTACAATCATGTTCACAAAGGAATGGTTTCTGATAGACCAGGCAGTTTGTTTTGCTAAACTCTGGTGTAAATGTCACATATCAGACATGGGAAAATCTATAGCCCAAGCAGATGGTCACCAACAATACCACACCACATACTTATGGAAAAATTTATTTGAAAGGAGTTTTCTACTGTTTGGGTGCCAGGATAGTGCAGTCAGTATAGAGATTTGCTACAGGCTGGACAGCCGAGAGGTCAGAGTTTGAGTCCCGGCAGGGGCGAGAGTTCTCTCTTCTCCACATTGTCCAGACCAGTTATGGGGGCTACCCAGCCTTCTATAGAATGGGTACCAGAGAATGTTTCTTTGAGGATGAGGTTGCTGGGGTGTGTAGCTGACCATTCACCTCCAACTAGTGCTGAGGTCATAAATATGTGGATCTACACAACCACTCCCCCATAGACCTTCATGGTGCAGTATGTAATTACTTAAGCACAAGGGCAACTTTACTGTTTACTTTCTGCTGTTATATGTAGTTTGTCAAGGGACCACAAATAAAACTGCCTGGTATTGCTGACTCCACTGCGAGTAAAATGTGCCTTGCTGATAAACAAAATATAGCACTGACTTGCACAAACACATGTATGTCTGCTGTGCACATGTGCTACATTTCAAATACCCATGGTCAAAAAACCGAAGAGTAAAGGACCTATGTATATGTAACACATCTTTACACAGAATAATCTCCTGAACTTATGATATATTGTCAAGGGATATCCTGTACATCACATTCATAATAAAGTATTAATCTCATTGGAGTATGGATATGGGAAAGCTACAAAAAAAGCCAGCCCTCGATCCAGTTGGATTCAAACCAGCAACCTTGTGTACCGAAAGTTAGTGCATGACCCCTAACCATCACACATGAACAACTGTAACCAGGAGCCTTTCTGTTAAACCTTTGAAAGACTGAATTGACGGGGGCAAATAATTCCTTAGCCATTATCTGCAATAACAATACTAATATAAAATTAATAATATGATCTAATAAAGTAGCTATTGGAGATAAAACTCCGTGGTCTTAGTCCACAAGTGAACTATAATGACTAAGCGACCNTAGGTGACTATAATTAATAGGTATTAACATTAAGGGTCAGGCCATGCCATAGCTCAAACGGTTAGTCGCTGGCTTCCCACTGCAGCACCCAGGTTTGATCCCAGGTCTGGTCAAGTGGGATTTATGGTGGACAAAGTAGCGCTGGGGTGGGTTTTCTCTGAGTACTTCGGTTTCCTCTGTCAATCTTCATTCCACCAAATTCTCCATCATCATAATCACCCAGGACAGGCTACAATAGGCCAATCAGTGGCCGCCGTGCCGAGTGGACCCAGTTGGGCTCCACCCCCCCACTAAGCGAATTAAAAAAAATAGTGAAAACTTTACTGGATAGAGGGTGTTGCATGGTCATCACAACATCGCCACAGCCGTTAATCTCAGTTTTCTAGACCTGAGCCACTACTTTTCCGTTCAAGTATCTCCTCAATTATGCTCATGAGAGTGAGTGGACCCCATTCCAGACCCACTATTTCTAATAAAAAAAAACTGGTGGCGCTGGGAATCGAACACAGAACCTCTGGATTTGTAGCCAGGAACTCTTGACCACTACACCACAAGAGGCAAGCAGCTATTGGAGATACAAAACTATTTTCTTTTTATAATTCCATATTTATCTCCCAGCTTTAACATAAGAAACTTGTTCCAATATGCTGTTTCACAGATATAGGAGGGGATCCAGGATAGCGCAGTCAGTATAGCGACTGACTAAGGGCTGGATGACCAAGGGGTTGGAGTTTGAGTCCTGGTAGAGTCAAGAAATTTGTCTTCTCCACGTCCAGACAGACTCTGGGGCCCACCCAGCCTCCCATCAAATGAGTACCAGGGGCTTTTTCCCTGGGGATAAAATGGCAGCGGTGTGAAGCTGACCACTTACCTCCCAACTACTGTCAAGGTCAAGACAATGTGAATCTATACAGCCACTCCCCCATACACCTACTTGGCGTGGTGCTTAATTAGTTAAGCATGGACAACTTGACATTTACCTTACAGATACAGGAAACAGCATTTAAGTACTAACCTTCCAAAATTTCTTTAACAGCAGTTTCATCTAATGAGTTTCTATTCATACTATCCCCTCCACCTGTATGTGTTTGTATCTTAGCTGTATGTATTTCATTTTTCTTTACATCTTCTTTCAGTTTTTCTTGAGATTTATTATGGATGGATTTATTCAGTGGTATAACTAAACTGGTGATTTTTTCTTCCTTATCCTCGCCTCTATAAGTAACCAGAATCATACAAATATTACTAAACTGAAATACATTTTTTTTTAAAATACACCTTCACTTCAGTAATTATTATATGGAGTAATAAAAATGAGTCATGTGGCTACTGCCAGATTTGCAGTTAAGACACATATCCATTCTGAGAGCCAACCAGGTCAGTTACAACTATGAATCAGTTATTCAGAAGCCCTTTAAGGGAAGAGAAACCAAGAACCAAACATCACATACCCAGGAGAAGCAAGGGAAAATACTAACAACGATCAAAATACAACTAATTTGTTAACCAAATTTCTTGAGGAATTTAAAGCAATGTTCCAACAAACTCACCCAACAAAACAGCATGATATTAAACATGCTATCAACGTTAATATCTAAAATCCATGAAATTCCTCAGAATTGCACTATGGAATGTCAACGGCCTTCTGCAGCAAAAAAAAAAAAATGAACTAGAGATATTCCTTCAACACAACTTCATAGATATAATGCTGAGAAGTGAAACTCATTTCACTGATAGATCCTACTTCAATATACCAAAGTATTTAACATACTCTACTAATCATCCCGACACTACAGCATATGGAGGAACTGCTATATTAATAAAAAGAACTATTAACCGTTATAAGCTCCCAGAGTACAAATTAAATCACCTATAGGCCACCGTAATAAAAGTAAAGATGACCCAATACGAGTTAACTGTTGCTGCAGTTTACTGTCCACCAAAACATATCATCAAAAAAGAGAACTTTAATGATTTCTTTCAAACGCTGTGACACAAATTTGTAGCAGGCGGAGATTATAATAGCAAGAACACCTTATGGGGATCTCGCCTAAAAATGACCAGAGGGAGAGAATTATCAAAAACATTACAAGAGCAAAAATATACGCACTTGTCAACTGGCACGCCAACATACTGGCCAACATCTCCCAACAAAACCCCTGACCTCTTGGACTTCTTCGTTACTAATGGAATTTATACAGAATACATGGATATGGTACCCAGTTTCGATCTTTCTTCAGATCACACACCAATTATAGCCACTGTTAGTAAAGTAAAAAAAGTAAGCAAAGCTATCCCTGTAAAAGGCCATGAAGGCCCATAGGGTTGTGAGACGTTGAGGGTCCCACATTATCCAGACAATCGGCTCAAAGAAGGCAGTAAGGTTGTCAGCCTTATGCGCTGGCCGTGCTTTACTCCCAAGGAAAATTATTTATTTAATTCCTGGTACTCATTTCTGTTAGAGACTGAGTGAACCCCCAGGGCCATAGTGCGGCCAGAAGGATTAGGTCAATTGAAAAAAAAAATCCAATGACCTCCTCGTAATCATGCTATTCACAAAACACCAAGAAGTAAACTGCACAATAAAAAAACAAATTGGGAAGAACACAGGATGAAACTACAAGAAGATATAAATCTAAATGTGAGACTCAAGAGCCCAATGGAAATCGACAGCACACTAACCACTCTAATCAACACTATAAAACAGGCAACCCAAGATGCTACACCTAAGATCACATTCCACAATAATACAAGGAATGTTCTAACTGAAATTATAAAACTCATATCTGAGAAGAGAAGAGCAAGAGCAAAGTGGCACAGAAGTCAAGCACCAATACAAGGTGTGTCCAAAAAGTCATGAAATATATATATAATTTTTTTTTAAATTTATTGATGATATCGGTACAAAGTGTTAATATTCTTCAAAGTACTGTCCATGAGCATCTACACATTTTTTCCACCGACTCTCCCATGCCTGGTACGCCCCCTCGAAGGCCTCAACGGGAACCTCATTTAAAGCTGTTGTCACGGCTGCTTGGACAGCCTGAATGCTTTGAAAACGGTGTCCTTTGAGTGCAGTCTTGATCCACACGTTCCTTCAATTCACTCGCGATCAACACTTGATTAGCTTTTTGCTCGTCCGTCAACAATTTGGGGACCAGCTTGGCGCACACCTTTCGCATGTTCAATTCGTCCATAACGATGAGATGCACAACGGTTTTTGGAATGTTCAGAGTGTCGGCTAACAACTGGACAGTCATTCGACGGTCAGTATTCAACAAATCACGCACACGAGTCACATTTTCATCGGTTTGGCTTGTTGATGGCCGTCCAGAGCAGGGGTCATCTTCCCCTCCTCAGACTTCTTCACCCACCATGTAACTTGCACATATGATAGAGCAGACTCCCCGTAGGCTTGCTTAAGCAGTTCGTGAGTTTCGGCAGCTTTTTTGTTGAGCTTTGTGCAGAACTTGACCACCCAACGTTGTTCGAAAGTATCCGCCATCGCGCGCCGTGACGTGGTCACAAAACACAGGTGCACTAAATCGGCGATACTCACGCCTCCGATGCTCGAGCAGACTGACCTTGGGCGCGCTGTGAAGCTAAAGGCCTCCCCCCCTAACCCAACCGGTTCCAGCGCGCTCTGACCAGCACGAGCGCGGGCAAGAAATATATTTCATGACTTTTGGGACACACCTTGTAGATAAAACAACATATAACCACATAAGTAATAGGCTGAAGTGTAAAATTAAAGAGGCAAGGGAAAGATCCTTCTCTAACTATATAACCAGCCTCAACAGATATGACAATACCATCTGGAAACCCATCAAACATTGTGGGCAAGAAGTGATGAAGAAAAAGCAGCTATGTTCGCTGAATATCTTGCTACAGTTTTTACACCATATGATGACCATACTGATAAAGGAATAGAAAGACAAATATCTGAAAATATCAGCATTATACCAGAAATAATTTTTTTTACAGTTAAAGAAGTGCAAAACGAAATAGTACTCCTAAATTCAAGAAAAGCACCTGGCACTGACGAAGTGACTCCCGTAATGTTAAAAGAAATGTCAGGAAAAGGGATAGTACTTGTCACATATAAAAAAGTAAAGCTATACCCGAACCAGGCCATGAAGGCCCATTGGGTTGTGAGACACTGAGGGTCCCACATTATCTAGACAATCGGCTCAAACATGGCAGTAAGGCTGTTAGCCATACGTGCCGGCCNTTTTTTTTTTAGAATTAAAGAAGTGCAAAACGAAATAGCACTCCTAGATTCAAGAAAAGCTCCTGGCATTGACGACGTGACTCCAATAATGTTAAAAGAAATGTCAAGGAAAGGGTTAGTAATTCTCACATATATTTAATGCTATTCTCAAACATAAATACTGGCCAAATCAGCTAAAAACAGCAGAAATAATCCTGATCCTCAAACCAGGCAAAAATCTTAATAGTGTGTCATCCTATCCTCATATAAGTATATTACCCATCATATCTAAGATCCTCGAAAGACATCTCTTAAAAAGAATAAGGTCTGAACCAAATACAGAAGAATGGATACCATCACATCAATTTGGTTTGAGAGAAAACCACTCCACTGTACAGCAGATATACAGAATAACACACAAAATACACCAAGCAATAGAAAATAAAGAATACTGCCCATTGGTCTTCCTCGATGCAAGTCAAGCCTTTGATAAGGTATGGTATCCAGGACTACTGTACAAAATCAAAAAATATCTGCCCATCACTTATTTCCACTTACTAAAATCCTATATAAATGGCAGAGAGTTCAGAATGAGAATAAATGATAGTATATCTAACAATTTTGCAATAAAATCAGGTGTACCACAAGGCAGTGTCTTAGGCCCACTACTTTATTTACTGTATACAGCAGACCTACCAGTCAATGCCAACACAACAATGGGCACATTTGC